CTGAGCGCGTTCCCTGTACGTCCCGCGGGTGGAGGGCCAGGAGGTGGGATGGGGTCACACCTGCAGCACGCGTCTCTCATCCTCCGGTGGTCACCGTCCTCACCGTGGGGTCCGGAGAAGGGGATCCATGGGAGGGTCCAGTGCCTTCGCACCTCCACGGCTCAGTCCATCGGAGCCCAACACCGTGCTCGTGGCCCTCCGCAGCCCCACGGCGTTGGCCAGCCCCCTCCAGGAGGCTCACGATGCCGAGGGGGTTACTGTGAGGCAACCTTTAAACACACACATTTAATTTCTGGCTTGGTTTCAGCCATCACACGCTACTACTGACACCTCCTAAGGATGGCCTTTACGTTTGTTTTTTTTTTTCCCTGAAAGTCTCCAAATTATTTTCCTTGGCTGTCCCAAGGACTTTAAGGGTCTAAGTGACAGTCTGCTCCTCAGTGGGCGTAGAGGTGCCGGAGGGGTTTTTGGGGAGGATGGTGCTGTTAGAGCCGCTCCTGGAGCTCACACCCCTCTGCTACTCATGCAAGTCTCCAGGAGAAAGCCAGTCCCATTGACACCCCCCCAGCCCCATTTTGGGAATCAAACAAGAGCATCAAGGTTAATACATCTCCCAAACAGACCAGGGAGACAGCAACGCCTTTAAGAGAAGGCAAAACTGTGAGAGGAAAAAAAATTAACCTGCCCCTCTCTGCCTCTGCATGGATCAGAGGCTTCGGGCAAGCAGCTATCACAGATGAGATTGGTTTTCCCCCCCTCGCTCCCTGACGCTATTTTCCACTGCAGCCCGCTGACGGTAGCAGGCGCGTTGCGCACACTTGCTATTCCAGGCAGATTAAAAGAGGCTACGATGGCTGTGCGGAGCCCTCCTTCACCTGAAAGGTTCATCAAGAGATGTCAAAAACCTCACTTTTCCCCCTTCCCAAGAATTTTTCCTGTTGCTCGATGTTAGAGGACAAATTCTCGTGCTGCCTCTGCTGAGTAACGATGGCCAACCATCAGCCAGCGCCAGATTTAAGGTGTGAAAGTTCAGCTGGAAAGATTTAAAACAGGTTTTTGGCAAACTACTCAACTCAACTGGCTGGTTAACACGTGGAGCAGCGGAAGAAATCTTGCTTTAACCCAACCATTTTAATTAATTTATGAAGATGTTAAAGACCTAGAATACCCAAATACTGCCTTGTAGTTGAACAGAGATAAGGATGAAAAGACCCTCACTGCAAGAACCCATTTGCAGCTCCCTCTGAAAGCAAAACTAAAGCCAACTATGCAGCGACGACTACCAGAAGGCTGCAGGCACTGGGGCTACAGGCCTCTCTCCAGAAGGTAGAAGATGTGGGCTCTGCTCCTTATGCCACAGATGCTGCTACAATTCACAGCTTCCCACGGTCTCAAGCACACCTCCCCGCTAGCCAAACCCCTCAGCTCCTCAACATTCAAAGCAGGTGACAGTCCCTGAGCTCCTACAGATGCTCCGTAATAACCCTACACCCATGACCAAGGGCAGCATGTGGTCTCTGCACTGCTGAGACAAAGGCAAAGCCCTCCCAGAGAGCAAACGCGGAGAACCTGGTCAGGTTGGCCTCAAGAGAAAGAGTCTTTGCGGGCGGTGGCTGTAATTGCCCTGATTACCACTGCCAGATGCCGAATTAGCACTGCTGCCTGCACAACCGCCTGCACACGTGGACGCTGCCGACACACGAGATGATTTCTTCAAGGCAAACACCGCGGTGAACGCTCTGCTTAGCCCCCGGGGCCGCTGCAGGTCCTTGCTGGGGTTTTCTGGCCTCCGAAAAGCAGCAAGAAAGGAAAGAGGACTTTTGAGCAAAGGAGGAGTTAGATTTGCCTTTCCAATTATCTGCTGCTGTCGTTATGACCTTCCACAGTTAAACAAAATTACCCTAAACAAACAAGGCTCCAGCGCTCGGGTCGAATGCCGGCATTAGCAGCCATCCGCGCTCACTGCTGAAGAGCCCTGACATATTGATATTAATTTAAATTTCCCCTTGACCATCATTTTCGATTCCCTCCAGCGCTGAACTTCTTTTTAGCACTGAGGCATGTTCCTCCTACTTTTCTATTAAATGCTTTAAAATTAATTAAAGAGGCTGGCTGGCCAGGCAGGGTTTTGAATTCCCTTTCTCAGAGAAAAATCTGACTCACCCAACACCTCTCGCAGGGACACGAGCGCTGGAGCCAAAACCGTTCTGGGGCAGCTTCCAGCCAAGGGCTTTGTAACCCCGTTCTTTCAAAAGAAGAAAATTAGAATAAAGGCTTTTAAGTGTCCACCATCTGCAATTAATTTTTGCAAGGAGAGTGGTTAAGCGCTGGAACAAGTTTCCCAGAGGGACTTACGAATCTCTGATCCTTGCTTGGTTGAGTTGTGAACATCTCCAAGCCCTGGAGGAACCTCATCCAACTTTGAAGCAAGCCATGCTCTGGGCAGAGGGTTGGACCAGAGACCTCCAGAGGTCCCTCCCAAAACTCCATCACTCCTTGACTCTAAAGAGGCTGAAAACCCAATAGGAACCATTTGTTGAGGCAGCAAATTAATAAAAAAAAAAAAATTTGACCAAATGCTGTTTAAAAAAAAAAAACAACCCACCAAGATTACAGTAAGTAATTATATGCAACTTAGTATGTCAACTGCAAAGAGTTACCTGAAGGAAAGAAAATTAAGGGGATTAAAATAAGGAGCGTACCACTTGTGACAAAGAGACAAAGACAAAAAATGCCATCAACTTGTGTTTATGAGCCCCTGTGGTTCTAATTAGGGCCAGACACCAAATTTGCATTTTATCTTGATTGAAACAGAATGAAAACTGAAAAAATAAAGGCGGACGATGTTAAAGTGTTTTCCCTGTTTAATTCAAAGAGTAACCTTACAGCATTCAAAACAGCTGGTTTTTTTCTTCCATTTTTAAGATCTCATTTTTGCCAGAGTGATTTCAATTTAAAACACAGAGGACCTTCAAGTGGGGGGCAAGAAGGAATGAGGTCATCTGCCAAGCAGCGGCTGTGCAGCACGGAGCAGGGGTACAACAGCAGCTATGGCAGCAGTGTGCAAAATAAATTAGTAGGCATCGATAAACTAATTAGAGGATGAAGGAGATCCATGCCTGAAACCAGGGAAAGCAGGAAGAGTGATGGCCATGGCTCCTCACGCTGGTCCTGCCTTTGGAGGTGGCTGGCTGGGAAGGATGCTCCGTGCAGCCCAGACAGTCACCCAGCACCAAATTCTCTTAAAATGCAGCAAAATGGAAATCAGGTGAGTGCTCAGTGGGATGCACCAGTCAGCTGCCATCAGACAGAGGGAACCAATGTCGTTTCCTTCTGCCACAGTGACTCGGGCGACTCATACGATGAAGACCTGCAGATAGCACCTTGGAGCAGGACACAGGCTAGCACCCTGTCTTCTCTCTCCCTTCCTTCTCTCCTTGCTCTCCCCCTGCTCTGGCATGCCAAAACCCATGGAAGAACACCAGCACGCAGCATCTGAGTGCCATCCACACCTCTCCTGGAGCAGAGCATCCCGTTCCTCCCCACCGGACAAGACCTTCCAGGAGCCAACAGCAATTTCAGTGCGTCCCACACGCTTCCAGCCGAGAGCAACAGCTGTTGGTTGAAGGAGCATATATGTCCCCTTCAGCCCCCGCTGGAAACAGGCTGAATCAGGACAGGATCTGCCCCGACTCCGCTGTAAGGCTTGATCCCTGCTCCTTTGTTCACAGCCCCAACACATCCTTGTTTTTCTTTTCTGCCTTGTGACCAGAGGCTGTCAAAAGACCACAGAACCCTTCTGGGAAGATCAAAATCAGGCTTTTAACAGTCGGAGGACGCGAGAAACCTTTCACACGCCACTGTCAGTTACTGCTGCTTGATGGGTGGCCCAAGACTGCAGCAGGGCCTTGCTTTGCTGACACGGAGAGCGAAGTCCCTGCAGCAATCTCAGCCTCAGAGGCACAAGGGAGACATGTACCACAATGAATGAACGCGGAGAGATTCTGTTTGCAAACCGAAACGCGTCCCACAGGTATCACTATACATTGCACCTTTGCCACCCACAGCTAGGAAAAGATGCTATGCCCACTAATTCCACTTTCAAGCTTAACGAGTTCTGGCAGCAATCCTGACAGCTCAGCATGACTGCTACTCCTGAAGACCATCTGCACCTTCTTGCCCCTCCCGCTATCTTGCCAACAAAGCAACAATGACTCTTAGCATCATGGTTTATTCCCCCTCCGTATGTACAATTAAGTGTATGCATGACCATTAAAAATAAGGCTACTTATATCATGGCTCTGAAACACATTACAAACCAACTCCATCCCCTCTCTTATTACAACATTCAGAATGCTTGGCTTCCGTGGTGTGCAGAGAAGGGCAAACACAACCAGACCACGCGGGCGATTAAGTGGTGCAGGGCTTTGGTTAACTGGATCTAGAAGGTTCCTCCTCCAGCTGAGATAGTCAAATGCAGCCAGGTCAGGTCGGGGGGAGATCATTATCCCATGACATCTTGGTGAGGTCAGTCCAGGTCCCAGGCAACTGCAGGTCACCTCATCTCAGCACGTTGCTGGTGGCAGGCAGCAGGGAGGCCCAGGCTTGCGTGGACGGGAGGACAACTTACTCCTCTCCTTTGGAGCTGCCCCTTTGGGTCGAGGCAGGGGCATAAGGAGAGGAGGAGGAAGAGGAAGCTGCCCTTCTTGATGACCAAAGGACTTCAGTCTCCAGCAGTGTCAACCTGGGTGACATTACTCAACATTTTTTAATGCATCAAAAAAAGGAACAACTGAACCAGATCATTATGCGATCTCAAAGCAGATGGCTTGCATGTCCAGGTAAGGCTTAGAGACTTTCTTTTTCCAACGGGGATGAAGAAACAGTCCAGATGAAAGTAACCAGAGGTGTGCAACTGAGGACAGCCCTGTGTGGTCCTGCAAGCTCCCTTCCCAAGTAAATCTGTTCCCATATGCAACAAGAGAGAATCTTCCAGCTTTAGCTTGTGGCTCAATAAATTTTATTATTCCTTTTTGTTTTTATTTAAAAGAATTTGTTTTCCTATCATAAAAATTAGACAACCATACCACCACCAGCAGCAGCAAAGTCTGTGGAGTTAATGTTGATGGCAGACAGTTCACTGGTGTTTCCAGTGTCTCAAAATGTCCTAGAAAGTTCATAAATGGAAAAAAACCCAAACATGATGGTTTTGGGGAGGAACATCAAGGTGGTTTCAGTTTCTTGTCCTGCTGAGGATCCCAGATGAATACTGTAGCATATCTGCAGGACCAAGTACCTCATGCCTTGAGAGAAAACCCTTCATACCAGCTCCAGTACCTGATTAGTAGGGAAGATGAGACATTTAGAACAGGAATTTACGATGTTCATTATCTCCTACATCAGCATATAGATCACTAGGACAGGACTGACCCTTCCGTCTCCACCCCTTACCCTTTATTCACCAGCATGTAATAATATCGCATGATTGGGATAAGCACTTGGCAAGGATCCCGATTTTCATGTCTGTTTGTGCTAGGATAAATTACGGCATGAAGCAAAGCCATCCGCAGTTGCCTCATTTCCACCCACCCCAATCAACCAGCTTTTGGAAATCCTGTAATGGAGATCAGAGATTTTGTCCTCTCTCAGCCTTCTGTGCTCACGTTTCCCTTTGTCCATGCTAAGACGGCGCAGCAGCCTCTGAAAGGTCTAGAGATGGCAGAAGAAAAGTGGCGATGAGGGCTGTCACAGCCTCTTTTAAGCTGGTTTGGTTTTATGGGGGAAAGCTCTAGAGCTGTAGCCCATGGCACGTGCTCCAGATCGGAGCGGGTTTGTGCAAACCCAGTCCTTTCCCAGACCATCCCACCTTCCCCTGTGCCATGCCAAAGGCAAATGGAAATAGCAGAGTTCCGACAGCCCTGGCTGTTTGCACATTTCTCTCCCCACCTTCTCTCGTTAACAAGCAGAGCACATGAGCAAACCCTCTCCTCTCTAATCGCTCTCCTGTTGCTGCTGGATTCATTTCAAGACAGCAAAAGTGTCTGTGCCTTTTGCCCATTTTACTAAGGAGGAAGTGACCAAAGCAATGAGTAACCATTTCCATAGTCTGCTAAATAAATCGCCTACGACCGAGAGGCTACAGCGTCGCATGCTGCAACAGCAGGAGTAACCATGCCACTCAGGGCCTAAAAAGGAGGAAACAAAATAAATCCTGCCACGCAAACACAGACTGCTTGGGTCTCCCCAGATTTCTGCTTTATTATTTTTTCCAGGGCTGTTCAGACCAGCAACTCTGGTCTGGGCTCCAGTGAGCTGCTATTGTCACAGAGATGCGAGGGGATGAGGACCTCAGCTTCATGAGAGTGACAATCCAGTGTGTAACTCCGCAAACAGCAAGTAAACCCCTTTATCAGCCGCTACAGAAAGCTGCCAGGGCTCTGGGCTACAAGCTTTCGGCGTTAACCACCAAAGCCTCAAAAGCATGGTTGGAGGTCAACGCTGCTGTGTCCAATTTGGGATGGCATCAGACTTGGGGTTCTCCGGAGGATCACCACCAGCCTGGGTTTGGGTACTGGTTTCGCTTGACTGTCTGGTAGACACGTAAAGAAGGACAAAGTCTTTTCCGTATTACTCGACATTTCATGGATAGAAATACATTGAACAGACACTCGGGAAGACTTTTCATTCAAGCACTGAAAACCTGGCAAAACGCTGGCTTCTCGGCGCATGGGGAAGGCTGCTGCTGTCACAAAACCCTGCGCTGGCAGCTGCTGTCTGTTCCGAGCAGCCTGGGCGCCAGGAGCAGGCAAAGGCAGGGAGCATCCCTGCTCATTTCAAACGTTGCTCCAGCCGGCTGCACATCAGGAGCTCAGCTTTCAGCTCTGCTGCACCCCGCGTCGGTGGCGGCAGACACGAGGACGGGCTCCGGCGAACGCCGGCGAGTTAACCCGCAGCCTCCGCTGCCAAAAACACCAGCAGGAGCCTGGGGAGATGCTTGTGCCAGACTCTCTGTGCTACCGTGACCCCGAGGAGCGGCAGAGGCACAGCGGGGCCGGACGGCCGCCAGCAGCTTTTCTACACCTTGCTTTAACTGGGTTTCATCGCTGGTATGCTGTCTGCTCGCTCTCTCCATGTGCCAGAGGCAAATACATCATTTACATTACAAACTTCTACAGTTGGGATGACCTCCTCTAATGGTTTCTCTGGGCTGTACAGTTTCTCTGACCTTGCTCTTTACTAACAACAGACTCAAGTGTTTAAAGAGGAGGTGCATGAAATAACTTACCTTAATTGTACCCTGACTGTTAGCAGCAATCAGCACGTTGGACTCCTGGAAAAAAAAGGAACAGGCACTGTCACAATCTGCCATTGCTTTTTTTTTTTTTTCCCTCTTTTTTGGAAGAAGCAGCAGAGAAGCAGTTGTTTTTTATCTTAAACATTAGAAGTATATCTAGTTTCAAAGGGACTTAACTCTTTCCATTTCAAAGACACTTTTGAGGCTAGAAGTCTTTATAAAAAGTTATATTACCTTGAAGAATTAGAAAGCAATAATCCTTAGTGCTTGTACAGAGCTTTAAATCTCCAAAGCAATTTACAAACATAAATTGATCCTCACAGTCTCCCTGTGAAGCGGGCAAATAATAATCATCATTTTCAACTTTTTGGCAGCATATGGACAAAGGTCTCCAGCGCCCTAACTAAACCAACTAATCACCACAACAAAAACCTCTCCAGTGCTGAGGCCATGCAACTTCTCCCAGAGCCAGGAGGTTTCAGACAAGTAAAACAAAGAGGAGAGGAGACTGGAGAGCAATAGCAGATACACCCAATTTGGAAGGGAAGATAAACAGACCGGGCTCCAGCCCTGCTTTATTCAGAAAGGCAGCATCTATTTACCTCCTGCCAATTGATGGAGGTGCCTTTGGAGATACCCTGGTTGTCTGCAAATTAATGGTCTTGCTGCATCAGTCAGGCAACCCCCAGGCAAAAACTGGGGGAGACAGCCTCTTGCGACCAGCCAGTGCGGATGCACCCTCTCAAACCAAAATCGTTCGGACGGGGGGAAATCCAAAGGTGCCAATAATATGGTGCCAATAAACCTAAAACGTGCGCCGGCAACAGCCCTGGAGATGCTGAGGTTGAACCACTGCTCCCAGACCAGTGTCCCGCATCCGCCCTTGCGCCAGCCGTTGTAACGTACGCTGCCAAACCGCCCGCCGCAAACGGTTTTCTCTGAAGACAGCTGCTATCTTTTCTCAGACGCATTTTTCAATTTCTCTCGCTGCTGCTATCCATCCTCAGACAAACTTGCCGTAATTATCACGTTGCTTAACACATGCATTTTTAATAAACTCAGTGCCTAGAATACGCCCTGCTCCAAAGGGAGTGGAAAGCCAGCTCGACCCAGCCCCGACAGGGTTGCATGCTGCCTTGCCATGAGGCTCGGGACTTTGCACAGCCAACTAGCTTTGAAGCAAAGGGAGAAAAACCCTTTTCAACGCAAAAAGCCACTTATCAGCTAAGAGTAGCCTTGTGGTGGACCACTGGGCTAATTGTTAGAGATAGATTTGTTCACCTCCGGTACAATCATTAGGGGATTAGTTAAGACTCTTGATATTATCTCACCAATGATCCTCCAAGTCAAAGCTCCTGTAAAGAAAGTATATCCTCAAAGGAAGCACATATTCCAATTTCCATTAATTTGGTGGCTCAAAGAGTCTAATCCTGCGAACTGCTCAGCTTCTGGTTAACAGCATTAGAATCAAAACCTGCTGGGGGGAATGCAGATATAAATGTGATTTGGGGACTAGAACAGGACCGGGATGCCCAATAGGATTTTGGAGGCAAGGGAGAGGCACCGGCAGCTATCTAGCGTGCAGTGCAAGAGACCTGAACTCCTGAGCACAGATGATCCAGGGTTTGAATGATTCCTGTTTGCACTGTGAGTGATTGGTAATTCATCCTGCTGCTGCAGTCTGCTGGGATACCACTGTAAATGAACTCTGGTTCAATGAACAGTTTTACCTGCTAAATAAAATAAAAACGCCAGAGGGTAATATACTCTCACTCCCTTGTTCTTCAGAAGCCACTGGTGGGTTTTTTTTCCAGTAGGGTCTGAGCTAATCACCACTCTGCTGCTTTCATCCACAACCGTGAGATGCAAACGGGAGCAGACAGCAGCAAAATTAGCACCAAATCTGTCATCAAACAATAGTGACTTGCTTGTTAAGGCACTCTAGCACTGCTTCCCCAGGAACACAGCTAAGTAACTTGTTTTTAATCCTCTAAAGAAACAGTTCTCCTCCTTTCATGTTGCCTGTAAAACAGCCAATATATTCAACACGTTGAACACCTAAGCAAGTTGTGAAGTTGCTTAGATCTGTAGGTTTGTAACTCGTGACAGCCATGTGCATGTTGAGCCAATCTTTTTGCCAGGACATGTATGAATGGAGTCACCATATCCTCAAAAGATAGCCACCATGACCACTTAACTGTGGTTAACTATTTCCCCTACCATACCGCTATGAGCATCTGTATCTCTCAGGCATGAAGAACAGGGTATCACCATCCATTGTGGTTGCATGTTCTACTTCACCATAATCACTCAGTGTCTCTAGGCAGGGCAAGAAGGTTTGAAAGGCTGGCCTTCCTCATCCCCTCCCCAGATTTGTTGTCTGCAGGAGTCAAACTCCCAAAGCAGAGGCAAGCGGTATGTTGGAGAACTGAGTAGTCCTCGATGCTCTCAAGAAATCAGTTATTAAAATGACTCTTCTACACATACACCTCCTCCTATGGGTGGTTAGCACCTATAGCCCTTCTTAACAGGAGAGGCAGAAGGTGCCAGCTGCCTTCACTAAGATAAGATTGAAGAAAAAAAAAAAAAAAACAACACAATAAAACTCAAGAAATGAGGGTTTACTGCCTGGCAAGCAACAGCATTTTGTTCCATGCGGCTGCTAATCTCAAGTATTACTGCATCCCGGTGGAAAGCCACCAACTGTGTAACCTGATGAAATGTGGCAACTCCTCCTCTGCACGTCAAGGCAGATAAGGAGCGATCAGTGGAGATGTGGCGCGGAGCACTCGGGTCCCCTGCGATGAGATAACATGGCATCTCAACAAGCCAGGGACAGCCATAAAATTGACAGGAGACAGCTTAAGAGTTTTGGTCCTGTTAAGTCAACAGGAAAGAGCAAGGTTCTGGGGATGTCAAAAATAGGCATCTTCTCGTCTCTTGGCCTTACATATGAATATAGAAAGATTAATTGACAAATGCAGGTGCATCTCAGGACTTGTGCTAAGATTAATATAGTGTGCAGGTCCAGAACTGCTCTAAGACACACCGTGGCTGAAATCCTATGCTAAGACTTATGAACAGCCTTCCACACACGCCAACTTTTTCCTTGACTGCAGCAACAGTATTATGGGAAGTCTGAAGGACAGTTCCTTGACATTGGGAAGGACTTGACTCCACCACAAATCTTTGTTATTGCCTACAGACTGGATGCATAGCCACACAGAGGTAGGCATTATGCAAAATTAAGTTGTAAATCAGTCCTGAGACCAAAAGACAGACCAGAGAGAAGCACCTCTGTCCTGAACCTGACACATCCCCATGTCCTGGATGTGGCACTGGATGAACGCTACTAGTTCACACACAGGAACTTAAGAGCCCTTGGAATTTGAAGGGACTTTCACTGACTGCACCAAAAGAAGAAATTTCTGCAGCACATTCTTGATGGCAAAGAAAAACAAAATCAAATTTAGGACTTTACTGAGTAGATGAGATATCTACTACATTCATCATTCGAAGGAATTATTCACCTGGTGACAGCTGGGTTTTGAAGCACACTGATTTCCTTCCCTCCTAGATAAGTCCTGTATTCGGATGGCCCTGGGGAAGCAATTTGTGTAAGGAAGGAAGGGAGGAGAAGGAAAGTCTGGCTGACTGCTGGTATTCATACAAGAGAAGTAGGCATTAAGAAAATCAGAAATGCTCTGGATGTTTCACGAAGCTTGAGAAAACTCAGCTGAACAACTGAAAAGTAGTCGGAGCTGCTGCAGTGTGAGAGGGAGAAGACGACAGCTGAGGTTGTACCTCTTCCATTCTTTCTTTACATCTTTGTGCAAGAACATGTCGGGTGGCGGGGGGAACACCACTAAATGAACGTCACCCCAGATGGACAGCTGTTAAAACCACACACGCATCTCCTTGGAAGGACACACACTGATATCCAAGCGGACTCAACTCTATGGAGCAAGGGAACGCTCCAGACAGACCTTCTAGCTAAGCTGTAAACTCATCCTCCCAGTGACTGCAAGGCTCCTCTTGGTCATCCCTGAAAAGAGCCACCATGGTTGCCTGCCTGCAGCCGCAGTGCTCCAGGAGTTAAGCACCCCTCTCGCCAGCGGGCTCATGCAAAACCACAGCTGAGTATTTTATCATCTTCCTTTCCTGACACAAGACAGACAGCCTGTCCCAAAGGGGCTGAAAACAGGCAAGATAAGCACAGATCACTTGCATCTCCCCCCCCCCCAACATAATCCTTCATGAGACCATTCCTCCTCCGTTATCCCACATATATAAATCCTTAAAGTGAAATTCAGAAGCTCACACTAAAGGAAAAGCTAGAACATGGTGTACAAAAGAGAAGGAGCCTGGACACTGACTCCGAAAGATCTCTGTTCCCTTGTTGGGAGCGAAACTGTGAATCAGAACATTTACATGTGAGCATTACCTACACTTCTACACTTTGTAAATACAGTAGTTTTGCAAAAGTTAGTCTTACCAGGAACAGAGGCAGAGTACTCGAAGGTTGGGAACTGCAGTGGGTAGCTAACAACCACGGCTTTGACCACGTAAGCCAACACATAAAAGACGCAGCAGCACTCCTCCGTGCCGTTAGCCTGACAAAACTAACCTTTAAACAAACTTATCCGACTGTTTCCCACAAGGACCATGCTAAGGAAGGAAGGAAGTTTGGCTAAAGAAGTAATAATACAACATGGACTTATTTCCTACTGTTGTTCTCCCGCCCACATTCTACAGATTCCAGCAATAATGCAACGGGATGACAAAATTGTTCCTTATGATTATAAAGATGCCAATGGTGAAGCAAGATGTGTCTCCAAGTTATATGCGCACATGTTCACGCTATGGACGGGAAATATTATTTGGTACTTTCACCATATTATAAATAATTACGGGCCATGAAATTTGTCTCTCTTGTCTCCCCTCTTCTGCAGGAATAAAGCACATTCGCCTCAAACTTCCAGCGCGGTCGTCATTGAGGTAAGCGTGAATTTTCTGGATTTTCAGCTAGGTTTTTT